AAGGTTTCTAGGCCCGGTAAAGAAGCAGTAAGGGTCACTTTCAAGGCCGGCGCAGCTGATCATTTCCACCCTCTGCAAATGAACCCGGGTCACGCTGAAAAGCCAGTCCAGACGATCTTTGCACCCCGCCCCTGGCCCTGCTCACACAACAGCCTGGCACGGGTAAGCGTGCCCCACAAACCCCTCAACCCAGCCAGGCCTCCCATCCAGCGAACTGCCAGGGAGTCAGACTTCACTCCTGGCAGGAAGCGGGGAGGCTCTGTTGTGCCCCTGCTTCCCTTGCTGCCTCTTCCCTTGTCCCCCCTCCCCACCGAACCAGCACCTCACGACCTCCTCCAAGTGTGGGTCTTCGTCAGCCTGGACCTCGGGGGAAGGCAGACCCGATGCAAAGGCTTCTTGTGGGAAAAAGGAGGGGCAGAAGTCCTCTTTCCCTTGTTTGAGTTAGCAGGCTTCCCCCCCCCCCCATTTCTGAATGAACAGAACTACCCGCCCTCGCTTTCAGTCCCCAACCAGAACAGCGCTAGGAGCTTCTGTCGCTTGCAGTCGAGCAGCGAGGGGGAACTGCAGGCCTTTGGGAGGGGGTCACCACAGAGGCCTGACTTCCCTGCAGAGAGCAGCTGCAGTTTTTTCTTCCCAGGACTCTGCCTCCCCGTGTACCCCGGCTCAGGATGGCCACGGGTGTTTTGGACTGTCCAAGACCCACCCTTCCCCACCCAGCAAAGCCACTGCTGCTCCAGTGCCAAGGGGAGGGCCTTGGTTCCTCATCTGGAGCTATGCCAGGGTCATTCTTAGGGTCACACACGCGCACACACTCCTCCACACCAATGTACTCTATTTGCCCCGAATGCCCGTGGTGTTGCCGCTGCTGCTGCTGCCGCTGCCGCTGCATGGCTCTACTTCTGCTTCTTGTCCTTCATTTCTGCCGCCTTGAGCTTCTCCTCTTCTGCCTGCAGCTTCCTTCTGCCCAAGGGAGTTTTGTCATACCACTCCTGCAGAGACACACCGAGGGGACCATCATCCCACTGGGCAACCTCCCAGGTGCCATTTGTGCCCAGGCCCTGGGGGGAGCTGCCACCCCTGGTTTGTGCAGGGGAACATGGTAAGGCACGCCCCCCCCGCCCTCAAAAGGGAATTCTGCCCGGTGGCCTTCTTTCCACTGACTTTGGTTCAAGAGGAGAGGCCTGGCAGCGCCCAGCCTGGGGTGAAATAAGGAATGCTAGAGTGACCACCTTCAGCGTCCTCCGAGAGGGGACAGGGCGGAAGCAGGCCGTGAGCAGGGAGACCCTGAAAAAGGGCCAGGCTAACGGCTCAGAAAACGTTCTAGGTAGCGTTTCCCAAGTTCCACTTTTTTCCTTTTTGAAAGCATCAGAGCCCTTCGCTGGGTTCTTGAGCAAACCCGTCAGTTTGTTCCTCGTCAAACGTCAGGCTCTGCGTGCACCGGAATACAGCAGCAGCCAAGGACACCTTCTCCCCCACGGCGTTGCGACCCCTCCGGGCGGTACTTGGATTTTATTGGCCCTGGCCCAGCAAAACAGCCAACTGCAGAGAGAGAGCCGGCACGATGTTTATTTCAGCTTAGGTGCGTCAGAAACGCTTCTGCTGAAGTTGGCACGTCGGATCTCATAACAACACTGCTCTGTGACTCCTGGCACCGGATCTGTGGCTTCACTATCTTTCACTGTTTATTGTATTTCAACCCAATAAACGTGCATTTGAGTATTGTACTCTACCCGGAACTTTATGCCATAATTGGCAATACGCAAGGCTTACATAAAGAAGGGAAGAAATGCTCATACTTGGATCTCAGAGCCAATTTAGTCCTTTTGCTTGGCCAGAAGGCCAGACTGTCTGCTAGGGGTGTGCGGTTTTCATGGCCGGGGGGGGGGGTTCTTCTCCAGCACCATCGGCCCTCCCAAGTTCAGGCTTAGGCTTAATAATTCTGGGTTCTGGGGGTGCTGTCCTCGCGAAAGAGGAAGGGATGCAAAGAACCACCCTCTGTTTGCCACACAGGCACCAAGCAGGCCAGAACGAAGCCATGAGTGGCCTTAAGTGTGTACAAGGTCTGCTTTGGGACTGCGCTGGCTGCCACGTAACAGAACTTTGACAAGGACGGTCACCTCCTGGATGAGACTATTGCAACACGCTCTACACGGGGCTGTGCATGAGAGTGCTTGGAAGCTTCAGTTGGTACAAAATGCAGCGGCACGGGCAGTTGTCTGCGCCTCTGCAACGGCACGTCACACCTCTGCTCCACGAGCTGCGCCGGTTGCCAGTTTGCTTCCGGGTCCCATTCCAGGTGCTGGTTGTGACCCTTAAAGCCCTTCGTGGGACGGGGCCGGACTATCTGAAGAACCGCCCCTCCCCACTCACACCAGCCTGTCCCACTGGCAGGGAAGGCGTGCTGCGCGTGCCATCAGCCGGGGCGCGCATGTGGCGGGTCCCAGGAGATGGGCCTTCTCTGCTGTGGCCCCCTGCTTGTGGAACATCATTCCCCCGGAGGTGAGGCCAGCCCCGCCCCGCCCCGACATCCTCCTGGAAGCCCCTTAACACGTGGTTGTGTCATTGGGCTCGGGGGTCTCGAGGAAGCGGTGAATTAGTGAGACACCTATAATAGTAACTCTGCTACTCTGTCCCTTGTAATCCCGGTGGGTGCTCTTTTTTGTAGAGTGGTTTTTAACTGTTAGCATTTTGTTAGTTGTTGTCATGTGTTTTTATGGTAAGCCACCCAGAGTCACATCCTGCGAGATGGGCGGCTATATAAATATGATAGATAAATGAATACATGATTTTTCTCATCAGAGAAGCATTTATGCAGAGTATTGTTCTTGAGACCTCTCTTTTATCCAGTTCAACATAGCCCTGAACATTGAATGAAGATGTGTGCATGTGTGTGTGTGTGCATACACATATATACACATACACACAACACTCAAGTCACACAAAGTTAAATTTCTAGGAATGACAATATTTATCCTTAGTAAAATGAAAAACAGCATCAAATGGCTAAAAACACCTGAGGTGATTTGTTAAAAAGAAGCTGGTAAGGAGACAAAGTCAAATTTTCAGCAATCTGGAAGTTATAAATGACTGTGTAATACAGGTGGACCTAAAGCAGACAATGAGCCCAAAAAAAAACTACCGGCATGTTAAAAAGCATAGAGTAAAGGCAACTACAGGTTCCCTTAAAAAGTACATATTTTCAATACACTAGAGAGTGCAGCGCTGCAGAAAAAAGGGAGAATGATAAAACTCTGAATTCAGCAGCAAATTGCTAAAAATATAGTAGCAGCTCAGAAGTAGGAAGGAAGCCCCCAGAGTCATTTTTGTGCGAGACGGGCGGCTGTACAAGTTTCTAAGTCAATCAACAATTCAGTCTATCAATAAAGTATCCCAGCGTGATTGCTGCGTTAGCCTTAGTGCAGGCTCAAGCGTACGGAAGAGATGGGCCTGTGGCCCTTCAAATCTCGCTGAGCCCAGCTCCCCCCAACTCTATCTAGCACAGCAAATTTATTTATCTATTTATATTTCAAGTTTAGTCACTGCCCATCTCACGGGGAAGTGACTCTGGGCAGTTTACAATAAAGAAAAAAGATGGACGGCAGCATGGTGCAGTGGTTAGGGTGCCGGACTAGGATGGAGAGATCAGATTCAAGTCCCCCTTCAGCCCTAACACCTACCTGACAGTTAATGGAAAGTGCTGTTTTTCTGACATTTCGCTTTTTGTTCATTTTTATCTTGTTTCTATTTTAACCTTGAGCTCCCAGGGAAAAGTGGGGGTCAATGGACAAAGAAAGAAACCTGCTGATCGCTCCTAAAGTGGGAGGGTAACTCTTGCTGACAAACCACAGCTAGTAAGGATCTGGTCGCCTTCTCCAGCTTTTAGAGCATGTGTTAAGAATGAAGTAGTCAACGTTATGTTTGGGACTTCTCCAAAAACCCTCAGCAAAATCCTCTTGAACCAACTTGGTGATCGTGATAAAAGCAGAGGCTCATCGCGATCAGGAGCAGGAAACTAGAAGTGAGTAAAAATGAGCAGGTCTTGTAGTGATAAATGGTGGGATCCTGGACACTTACTCAACACCATCAGTGGCCTGGTTGGAGCTGTGAAGCAGCCCAATTCGCTGGTGACCCTGATTATGTAGCTTGATTCAGAGAAAAGGGGTGGCAAAGAGCAGTGGAGGATCCCTCGAAACTGTCCCAACGAGCCCCGGGAAGCGCAGAGCAGGACTGCAGAGATCAGGTGGCGCATTTGGAGAGCTGACCCCCTTCCAACTTCTCAAGTACGCCAAGGAGTCAGAGCTCATGGTGACTGACAAGGGACCGCTGCCTGCAAGCGTCTCCCCCAGCCGCTGCGGACAAGGCAAATTCCCCATGGGGGGGGGGCAGCAGAAGGTGCCCGTATCAAGGGGTGGCTGCTGCAGTTTCAGAAGGCTGCCTACCTGAAGTGAGTTTGGGCCAAGGAGGAGACACACCGACGACAGGGTCCTGGCACCAGCGACTGGGGAGTGCGGGGGCAGTTTCCAACGGTCCTTGTCTTTCAAGGAAGCTGACGGGTGGGAGTTTCAAGTATGTTTTCAAACAAGGGTTCGCTGCACGGCAGCATTTAAGAGGATGGTGGCTGACTTAAATGGCTGGGAAAGACATCCAGGAAACTCACCCTGGACAAGACTTTCAGCAGGCAACAGGGAACGGCCACCTCTGTGGCCACTTGCTTCCAGCACTGGCTTAGGACCTGTCTGAATGCGTGAGTGCGCGGTACCCACTTTGCTCCCCAAGTCGTTCGAGCACCTGGCTGGCCAGGGGGAGTGGAAGGTGGGCCGCGTGGGGCTTTGGTCCGCTCTGGCCTCCCACTGTCCTGATGCTCGGGACTCCCTGGCCAGCACAGGCCTGAACAGGACTGGTTCACCGCAGGAATCGTCCCAACGAAGGAATGCTCCATGATCCGCCAACGGCCTCCCTGAGAAGAAGCTTGACGGAGCCCTGGCAGAGCTTCCTACGCTCCCTGGCAGGCACAGCCATTTCCCCCAGGAAGAATCAGCATCCAGTTCAGACTGGACGGCTCGTGCCCATCTACTCGTGCCCACAGAAGAGATGCCCACAGCGCCCAGGGTCTTGCGGTAGTGGGTAGCTAATTCATCCCATGTGCTAAACTAGGATTAAAAGAAAGACGTATTGAATGAGCCAGGAACTCTGGTCTGCACACCAGAAGGACTAGGCTCCTACCACCCACCCCAAAAGCAAGCTACCGTACAGTGTACTGCGATCAGCAAACCCACTTTGTGTGGGTTGCGGGAAAGTCTGGGCCTCTGTGGTGGGCTTGGCCGCAACCCCCGGCAGGGAAGAAGGGAGTCGTATACCTTCAGCAGCTCCTGCTCCTCCGGGTAGACGGGGTCTGCCCTGGCCAGCGTCTGCAGGAGCTCGCCAGCACACAGCGGCTTCTTGGGGAGCTGCAGGAGGCGCCGCTCGCTGAGAACCAACTTCACGGCTTGCGCCATGCTGCCTTGGCTGTAGCCGTCCGACACCTTCGCCAGAGCGCTGAGGTCCAGGCTGCTGGTGACCACGCCCCCGTGCTTTTGGATCAGCCGCTGCCACGTCACTGCGGGTGCAAGGGACAGCTGGGGTGAAGGACAGTAGTCCTGGCCTTGGGAATGGGGAGGGGGCCAGCAAACTGCTGCAGGACAGAAAGGCTCCCCAGCGAGGGGGAAGCCTGAACAAGAACGTCGCAAAGACCCTCCTTGGCTTTGACGGGGCAAAAAGAAACTCAGGATTTTGGCCTTCTGCCCTGCCCTGGCCTCCCTCGAAGGGCTGACCCCGGGCGAGGCCTATTTCTGAAAGTACCCCCTCCCCAAACTGTCCCTGAACAAAGGACTGCTAAAATGAAGGGGAATGACACCATGGTGGTCCTATATTAAAACAAAACGGCACACCTTCGTCATTTTTCAAATGTTCTCTGGAAAAGCCGTTTTTTTACAAGTTTCTGGAAGACCATGAGGGGGAGCGCCGACCTGACCAAGGGACGGCTTCCCATAGCGTGGAGTCTGCACTGCTGGCTACGACTCCTGCCCCTCACTCCCAGCAATGGGGGACTGCTGGGAGCAGGCACGGGAAGAGATGATTTCATGTGGAGCCAGTGCACCCAGAAGCGCATGGCCAACCTGTGCAGGGTCCTCAGCACAGAAGTTACGTGACCGTGGCAACTCTTATTCACCAGCAAGCAGGCCACTGTACTTTCTACCGACGGCAGCCCTGCTAGCTCTCCAAGGTCACAAAATGGACGCTGCGTGAACTACTGGGCACAGTAACAGATATTGAAAGCCTGACGGAGTTTCTCTTCCCCTCCCTCTGATCCCAGACAGGCAAGGCAGGGCAACCTTGAGTTTCTTCCTCACCCTCTCCTGTCTTCCCAGGATACGTTCATGTTTTCCTAACAGCTGACACACACTTTCTTCAAGGTTACCTCTGTACTCCTCTACAAGTTCCAAGAAGAGAACGCAGTAGTCGTCCAGTCATGCAGAGATAAATAAGTGAATCCCTGTTGCCAGGACCTCCTGCCCTTATGCTGATAAGGTCCCTGCTTATCTAGCAGTAGCCATAATGCCAGGAGGACCAAGTCAATGATGTACTCCTTCAGAGGAAGGCCACCCGGTCCAGAGTTACAGCCAAAGAGGAGGGGCAGCAGCTGTTCTGTCTTATTTGGGTTCAACTTCAGCCCGTTTGGCCTGTCCAGGCCTAGCCGCTTCCAGATATCAGGTCAAGATCTCTGAATATCTCTGCCCAGGCTGCATCTTATCAGCATGTTGGTGGTACCTTACTCTGAACTGATGGGTGACATCTCCCAGCAGCCCTTCCGTCAACGTCAAACGGAATCAAGTTTTGGAGCCCCTGACCGGCGAGCACAGATGGGCTGAGCCCTCCTGCTCTGCGTGGGACCATCTGCTCAGGAACAAGCAGAGTCCCTCCCAACCTGCGCAGGCGGTCCAGAAGGACACTCTGGTTGATGATACGAAATGCTACTGAGAAGTCTTATGAGGCCAGACGGGGGCATTCCTCCCCCCACCTGGGTCAAGATAGCCATCCACCAACCAACTGCCCATGTCGTTTGCGCCCTGTGTCTGGGCCTGAGTCCAGACTGGAAAGGGTCTAGATAATCCACTTCTTCTAGGGTACTCCATAACTGGGTCCCACTATGTTCTTGGCAACCTTCTCCAAAAATGGAAAGCCGTAGTGCCCAAAACAGCCTGGTCCAGGGAAGGCTTCTGGTGGTGGTGGAGGAGGAGGAGGAGGAGGAGGAGGAGGAGGAGGAGGAGGCAAGAATGTTCTTCGCGCCATGCAGCATTCAACATCTCCCCTCCCCCTCCCCAGGCAAGACCAGACCGCTCAGGGCATTCGCTTTCCCTCACCATAGCGAGACGCATAATCTGGCTGGGGGATCAGCAGGACCCTCTCGTAGGTCTTGCACAGGCCCTTGATGTCAGCCAGGTAGGGCTTGCTGGTTGCGCCCATCAGCAGCACACGGTCCTCAGCCTTCAGCAACTTCAGGGCCTTTGGCAGGTCCTTCTTCAGCCGTTTGGGTTCCAGCTGTGGGGAGGAAACAGCCATCACCACATCACGACCAGGCCAGAAGCCCCCAGGATTGGTCAGCACAGGGCCCCCTATGCCATCGCCTTTCTGCCCATCATGCTCCACTTGGCAGGGAGCTGTGAACTGGCATTTCTGAGGACTGCCCTCCCCCAGCTTCTGGCCAAAGACAGTCAGAGGGAGATGGCCGCCCCCGCCTCACTCACCTCCTTCTCTTCTTTGGGGACCTTCTTGTAAAATGTCTTTTCCGCATTCCCTACCCAGATGACGGATGGCTGCAAATTGCGGGCTACCTGCACTTAGGGAGGGAGGCAGGGATGGAAAGTCACAGCAAGCAGGAGCCTTTGGGGATCCTGACAAGGATGGAGAGCCCTTTACCGGCAGGAATCAGGGTGCCCTTCCCCCTCAGAACAGCCCCCCCAGAGGCAAGCCGGCTCAGCACACAGCCTTCCTCTGGGCCTCCACCTTGCGCCTTTATGCCCCAAACGGTATGCTTCACTGGACGGCTGCAACCAGCTGCCTTGGGGGTGGGGGGTGGGCTGTTTCCACAAACCGCAGAGGCGGCCTTTGGCTACTGTCCCAGGGAAATCAAGCAAAGCTCGTCGACTGAGACTCCTCTGGGGGGCAGCCCAGATGCCCCCCAGGCCTCCCTAGCCAGCTCTGGGGAGGGGCTGGCCCCTTTGTGGCCATCCGGCCTTTTGTAGGTCACTTGGAATGACAGGTCCCCAAGGGATAAAAGCGCTTAAGGGAGGAGGTCAAGGGGCAGAATACCTGGATTCTTTGCTTACGCGTTTCTTAAAATGATTCGCTCTGCGTGGGCAAGTAGCTTTCCTAACACAGCTGCCCTTGCCTCACCTTTCTGCCCATTGCTGTGAAAGCTGAGCACTAAAGAAACGACGTCTGCCTTATTCTCAGAACCAAATTACACACCTCTCCTTTCCTTTCTCAGGAAAGTCACTCTGTTTTCATGTCTGACATTCTGCACGACCTAGAAGTTCCCGGTGGCATCGTAAAGCACTGCAGGGCTTCGTGCCACTGAGTGGGCCACAGGCGAGGCTTTGGATAGCGTCAGGGCACCCGGCTGGAGGGAGCCCCCCAGATATTGCTCTCCTACCTCTAGAAGAGGCTCTGGTGCTGGGAAGGGTGGAAGGGAAGGGGAGAAGGGGGCAGCCAGGAGAAGGTGGAGGGACTCAGTCACAGGGACTGTGGGTGCACCGTTGGGAGACCTGAAGGACCCACCTGCAGAAAATCTGTGTGGTTGCCAAGAGGCGATGATGGCACCCCAT